GTTGGCTATTAGTAGAGCACAAACTAGTATGTATAATGGTAAGTCTCGATATATTCGTTGACGACATAATACAATTAAGCAATTGATCTCAAATGATGTTATTTCCATAAATTATGTAAAGTTTAGAGAAAATCTCACGGGTCCGTTTACCAAAGGCTTACCAAGAGATCAAATATACTGTCTATCAAAGGGAATTGACTTAAACCTACTACGTAAGGATATTTGTAATGGTAACTCAATCTTGATGATTGGAGATCCCAAAATCTTTTGGTTCAAAGAGACAACTAAGTCATGAAGATTCAAAGAGCACTTCGGAGTTAACTCTTACTCATTCCTTCGATAAGAAAAGTGCTATCTGATGAAAGTTTTAGATTAATTTGTATTTTTAACAGTCCCTATATCTTGGACTTTTTAAGTGGAGTATGACGGGTACTCTTAATAGGATATCACATATACAAATTATGAAGTGAGACAGGTTCCATGAAAATGTTTCAAATGCTTGAATTCTCTAAAGTATTTATGAAGTTCAAGAATTATTTAGGGCCAAAATGAACACAACAATGAGAACTCGAAAAAAATATTGGGAAGGATATTTTGTTGATATTATTGTTTTAGTTTACATCTACGACTGATAGTTCAAAACACCACGTTCACTGATTAGCAAGTAAATCCGATAGTATTCTACTATGAAATGTTCAAACCCATAAGGTACCTATATGGATGCAATAACATGTTGCCTGATCTCTCTATATGATATGCATAGTCTATTGCATTAATTTCCATTCTTGTAGGGGATTGTTGGAAAATTGATTTTAATTAGTTGGTTTGACCAACTTTTGAACAATTATTTTAGTTTGTCCCATTAGCTGGACCAAAGATTTATTTAGCCAAGCATATTCTATTTCATGAGTAGATTAATATAATGTATTTAGTTTCTCAAAATTAATTTAGGATGAATGAGAAATTAATGGTAAAAGATAACCAATTGAAATTGAAATAAATTGAAAATAAAAATTGGTGGGAAATTGGAAAATGAAAATTTCACATAGGAAAACTAGAAGAGTGGAAATCACTTTATATTGTTCAAATTTGTGACTTGGATTTGGATTCCAAAGGGTATTAATAGTTGAGAGATGATATATATGCTAGTAGGTTAAGCCAAAAATCACACGCACGCACTACAGCCATCATTTGACTGGTCGACCAGCTTGGCTAGGCAGCTTGGCTTAGATTTAGGTTTGAAACAAGTATGTATATATTTTTTGGAAAAAAAAATATTTGAATGATATTATTTTATTATTATTTGAAATAATATAATTATTTCCCGAAATTTTTTGTACTCGACACGTGACATCTTCTAAAAACTGGCAATTGAACAGTTGAACTGCTTTCCAAACGAGTTGTGTCTGTTTAAAACACAACGTTTCGGCTATTGTGTCTTTTGGACACAACTTTTTGACTATTGTGTCTTTTAGACACAACTTTTCAACTTCCATATAATGGTTCTGATATCTCGAATTTTATTAATTCCAAATCAATTTTGATTTTTCTGTCTTGTAAAATTATATTCCTTCCTTACTGAATTATTCTATATTTTGCATTTTGATCTCAAAAATTATTTTCATGCATTTTAGTCCTCCAGTTTTAAAGAGATAAAAAATGTTAGTAAGTTCATCGGATCTTGTAATTTGGAGTGCTATTATTACAAGTCAAGATCATTCTATTTTGGGATATGAGTGCCGGAAGACCGTCAGCACTAGTGTAGGACATTATCGTCTTAAGGAGAAAGAGTCAAACTCTCGCATCGACCAGCACTATTTTATTCTGTTCATTTTAAAAATCGATATTCTATCCAGTCGATTATTCACCGAAAAAGATTATTTTAAATTATGATTATAATTAAAATGTGATCCGGCTTTGAAAATGTGGTGTAAATATAATTATTCCAACAATAATCATAATCTTTATCTTAATGTCAATAGTAACTTAGCTTTTCTAAGGGTCATCATGGAGGTCCCATTCAGTTTGAAATAATTCTATAGAAATCATTAATCTAGCAAAGTAGCCCATGAAAATCACGTGAATTTTATTTGTATTCTGCCCAGATCTGTATATTTATTATTCTAAGATAAAATAATAGGGATTTTGATACTCTGTCTCCCTGTTCAAATTCATTTCTTAGAATAAATATTGTAAAAACTAATTTTTTTGTTTTGAAGAATATATGATTAAAATTAAAGAAAAATTATTGATTTACATATAAAATTATTTTACTTGGAGAAATTGTGATTGAAAATGAGTATTTTTGAAAATAACGAAACTCAAATAGAGACTTTGTGACTTATAGTAAATTTTGGATCTCATTTTAAAATGTCAATATTATTATAAAATTTTATCTCATTCGAGGAATACCAATATTGAATTCGAGTGATCATTTGAGCTTAATAAAATCTAATATCATATTAATATATTTGGTTTCATTTTAAAAATGTCAACATTATTTAGAAAAGGAGTTGAAATCTTTATATGTTGGCTAGTATTTTTATAATTAATTAATGTGAAATTTTTCACTTAAATAGTTTATGTAGTATATAATGTTATCTTTATTTTTTTTGGCAGGTTGTTTAGTTCTTATTATTATACTTAGAGGGTGTTTGGTAGAGATTAAAATCGGATTAAAATTGAAAAATTAGTCGTTATTGTTGACTTTTATTAGATGAGTGGGACCTAATAACGACTATATTTTCAATTTTAATTGGATTTTGAGCCGTACTAAACAGGCCCTTAAACTTTTATTTTCTCACCATATAATTTTTATTTTTTGTTGGGATTTCATTATAATTTCCATATGAGGAGATTTAGTGGAGCAAAGGATCTCGTGAAATATATGATAATAATTAGACAATAGTTGTGAATGTGTGATTAAAGTTGAATTTAGCCTAAAAATTGTTTGTTACAAATAATGAAATCCAAACACAACTTTGCCTCGGTTCAACAAAATTTATAAGTCATTTATAAATGATTAAACTTCATCTTAAATCATATTTAAATCCACAAAATATTATTCAGTTATTCACTATCCATTTTTACCCATTTATAAATTAAATTAGTTGAAATTGCTTTATATTTGATTAAACATAGAGTTTGTTTTGGTGAGATTTTTTTCATTTGAAAAATAATATTTTTAGAGAATTTGTGTTTATAAAATAGGAAAAAAAAAATTATTGTTCTCATAGAATGTATGATCAAAAATATTTTGAAGAAAAATAATTTTAAGAAATCTATTTCAAACAAGACCAAAATTGGTATCATTGCTCATCATCGAAAGTATACAAACAATCAATTTATTAAACAATTCACAAAATTTAATGTTATTAACATTGATGAATTAAATGAATATATCAAGAATCATAGTGATTTAAGGAAATAAATAGTGAGATTAAGGAAATGATAATCTAAACCAATATAATTATTATATCTACTTAGTTTTCTCAAGTTAAGTAAAGACTAGCTACCTAAAAACTAAACATGAAATGCGCAAACTTCCGTGACTGCACATTTTCTATATCTAAATTTCTCATAATGTCAATAACAACTCCGCTTTCTTTTCTGAAATAGCTTTCTCGATTCAAAAGTTAGTTTTTTAAGAATCTAGTTGATTTGAGTATTTTGTAAATCTATTCAGAGTTGGTGTCGAGAATTTAATTACATGTACGAAATTTGAAAGAGTGCTCCTCTTTCATTTAATTAAGAAACACTCGTAGAGAAAATCAAACAACAAATATCTCCAAAATACCTTTTGCAAAACGACATCACTAATAAGTAAACTTATGTATAAGAAAAAATTTAATTTTATATTATTCAATTCTTATATACTTTTCTCTAAGATGTAATATCAAATGTCATATTTAGAACAATAATCATGTAACATGTACATTATTCTTTATATTATTTTTTACATTCTGTCACGTGAAAACAAACCATTTGACATAAAAATTCACTTTAATCATATCCCATAACCTCATCCTACCTAATCATTTTCCTCATAATCTTATTCTTATTCAGGCCTTGTATGGGAGGGATTAAAATCGGATTAAAATTGAAAATATAGTCGTTATTGTTGACTTTTATTAGACGAGTGAGACCTAATAACGACCATATTTTCAATTTTAATTGGCTTTTAATCCCTTCCGAACGGGGCCTCAATAAGGTGTATACCGTATACAGAAAGGAATTCATTCACATGTAAACCACTTATAAAAAAAAAAAAAAAAAAAACCCCACACGGTTAGCTGTACATATATGAATTCCATCTCAAAACATGCATTGACAAGGACTTTAAAGGTGTGGCGGACTAGTCTTAGTCAATGAAGTTGCACTGTGCGTATAATTACTATTTACTATTCATGGGAAAAAGTTTCGTGGATTATTCGCTCTCTGCCTAATTATCTTTATCATTTTATAATGCTGGGCTACTTCCATTTTCCTCTATATATATGAACATCATAGTTGAGGGGCTTGATTAATTATCAATTTGAATGTCGGCTTTTGATTTCTTGAATATAAGCTCGATTTCTGATTCTGGGTCTTGGATTTCTTGTGGAATTCTCCCTCATTCCACCTCAATTTCTGTTGAGTTCACATAAGATCCCAGAAAAATTGAGGGCTTTCTGAACTCGGTTTACGAATTCTGATTTGTTAAGATTTGCTTTGATTTTATATTTTTTGTTTCAACATTGAGACCACTGTGTTTTGTCAATCGACCAAAATTTCTGTAATTGCTGAAAGAATCTTGAACCAAAAGAGTTACTAGATTTTTCAGGTAACAAGATAACTGTTTTGTGGAACTTTGACAATTTTATTAAATCCAAGTTTTAGAAGCTGATTCTTTGAGCTTTCTATTCAGATCTCTTTGCTTAAGGCTCCTAAGGTTTTGATCCGCTGTAAATTTACTCCAAATTTCCATTCTTTATTGTCGGTGTTTATCAAATACTTCAAAGATGACGACTGGAACCCTTAAACCATTGAAAGAAAAGAAGTCGAGGAAGAGAAAACAAGCAGTTGTTGCTGATGAAAAATCTCCTTTATTGCCCACCAAGCATGAGGCAGATGGTGGGTTTGACGAGTTCGATGGAGCCTCCTTTAGCGGGGCAGTGTTTAATTTATCGACCACGATTGTTGGAGCTGGAATCATGGCATTGCCCGCAACCATGAAGGTTTTAGGACTTGTCGTTGGGATTGCCATGATCATCTTTATGGCATTCTTGGCAGAGGCTTCCATTGAGTTGTTGCTTAGGTATAGTAGGACTGCAAAATCAGTTTCTTATGCAGGTCTTATGGGGGATGCTTTCGGAAAGTATGGCAGGATGTTGATACAACTCTGTGTAATAGTCAACAACATTGGTGTGCTTGTCGTGTACATGATTATTATAGGTATTTCTTCAATTGAATTGAGTTATCTATTCATTTTTCTCTGTTGTTCATTCCATATTGATCCATGAGGCTTTTATTGATTGCTGCTCTAAATTATGTGAACTGAAGGTGATGTGCTTTCTGGAACCACTTCAAGTGGAGTTCATCATGCTGGTGTTCTTGAAGCTTGGTTTGGACAGCACTGGTGGAATGGAAGATTTTTTGTTCTTCTCTTCACTACCCTGGTAGTATTTGCGCCATTGGCCAGCTTAAAGCGAATTGGTGAGTTCCTCATCTTTTAATTCGGAAAATATCTGGAAGTTAATACTTGGATGTATTGATTATTAAGTTTAGCACACTTAATGAATGTTAAATCCTATTAAGCAGAATCTGGGAATTGGTTGGTTGAAGTTGTCTGAGAGGCTTACTTGCAGTGGTAGTATTCATCTTCTGAGTTATATAATGATTGATCCCCGAGATGGCTGATATAGAATTCTTAGTAAATAGATTTTAACTTTCCTATTTTTTTTAATAAGAGAGTTCTTATTTGAAATCTGGCCTGACTATTAGAAAAATAAATAAGCCCATGAATCACCATTCCAAAAATTGTTTGAAGAAAAGGATTTGAGGGTTTTTGTCCCAAATTTTTGCTCTCTTATTCCAATGTAGATTCAGCTTTATGATTTTTAATGAATTCTAAGCTAATTTTCATTGTGCACCTATCATTTACAAATTTTGGAAGTATTTATTTTTTTCTTCTGCTCCCAGTTACCACTTGATACTACTGGAAACTGAAGATTGATTTCTTGCAGTAACAATTAGTGCTTTTTATTTGTTGTTGCAGATTCATTGGGATACACATCTGCTTTATCAGTTGCATTGGCTATTGTATTCCTTGTTGTTACCGTTGGAATTACTGTCTTCAAATTGATAAATGGAACTGTTTTGATGCCTAGATTGTTTCCTGATGTTACGGATCTGACATCATTCCTCAACCTCTTTACCGTAGTTCCGGTTCTTGTGACTGCATACATCTGTCACTTCAACGGTATGTTGTTTTATATCTGATATTAAGATTTGCTGTCTGCTAGTTAATGCTTCATTTGGGGGATGATAGGATACTGAAACAGTACTTGGTTAAGGATTTGCAAATCAGATTAACATTGACTATTATTCACGCCACTGGGTAGGTGAACACTCTGCAGCCTGAACCTATTTAACTCCAGCGCAATTTGATGGCAATTCTTTCCCACTTGTATTCTGTTTTCTGGCTTCTGCTTTGAAATTATAAAGAGATAATAGAGAAACATACTCCAGTGAATGTCTAAAGGTTTTTCTTGTATGCTATCAGAAAATAAAGGGTTTTGACAGAGAAAATTGTTTGTTGTCAGAAACATAAGAAAATTTTGATTTTTGCATTTAAACTGTCTAAGTAGCAACAGTTTAGGCAGGCATCCACATGCTTCCATAATAATAACTTACTTTACTGCTATTTCGAACTACGCATGAAAGCATGAACGGAGGCCATAATAAGTTCAAGTTTTTTGGCTTCATATCTAAGTAAAGTGTTTCCTCTCCAATGAAAATTATCATTTTACCTACCATTGTCTATTCTAATGATGTGAAAGTTTTGCAGTTCACTCAATAGACAATGAACTTGAAGACAATACACAGATAAAGAGAGTTGTGCGAACAGCCCTTTCTCTCTGCTCAAGTGTGTATGTATTGACTAGTATCTTTGGGTTCCTCTTATTTGGCGATGCTACACTTGATGATGTACTTGCCAACTTCGACACGGATCTTGGAATTCCGTATAGCTCCCTGCTTAATGACATTGTTCGCGTTAGTTATACTGCGCACTTGATGCTTGTCTTTCCTATCGTTTTCTATCCGCTGCGGATAAACTTGGATGGCCTCCTCTTTCCATCTGCAAGGCCTTTGAATTCAGACAACTTGAGGTTTGCATCGCTCAGCACTGGGCTCATTGCAGTGGTTTTTCTGGGGGCAAATTTCATCCCCAGCATATGGGATGCTTTCCAGTTTACTGGAGCAACGGCTGCAGTTTGCATCGGTTTCATCTTTCCTGCTGCAATTGCTCTCAGGTAACCGTGACTTCTCTACTATTGGGACCACTGTAAGATAATTATGACACATCCTTCTTTTGCAAGTTTAAGAATCTGGATTCTACAGCTTGTAGAAATACATTGAATTGTTTATAAGTTGGATTGTACCCCACTGGACACTGAAAGAAGCTAAAATCTTGTTTCCATGTTCCAAATATTCCATCTAGGTTAAAAGACATAACATGACAATTAAGTAAATTTGCATATGACATTCTGTGGAAGTAGTCATTTGTAAAACTTGAAGACCCTATTTCTGTGTCGTATTTGATACATATGTAATTTTCCTTTAAGTACATAATACGAAATCTTCCATACAAAATTTAGAAGCCATCCTTTCTAGTTTAAAGTTTCCATGATAGTAAACGCAGAGGAAAACTGTTCTCTGTTTTAAGTATTAGCATCTTCTTTCCACAATAGTAAATTTTGAGAATGTGAGAACAGAAATGGCTTTCCGGACCTCCATGTTGATTTCCTTTTGTGGAGCACTATTAGTCGAGTAACATTTTAGTGACCATTGCCATGTACTCCTTGGAGAAAAAGTACCTTGGAGCACGTTTTCTACATAGAATTTGATAGGACTGGACACTACGGTGGACATGATTTTAGCTTCTTTTTCTTAGTTCTTTCTAATATTTTTATAGTCCATCTTATCAAACATGTTATTGATGAATTGAGGATTAATTTTTGTTGGCACAAGTTAACTGTGGCACAAAATTTAGATTAATTTATGTAGGACTGGAACAGAGTGACAACAATTAGTTGCAGAAATTTATGTTCTCCAGAGTTTAAACCATGTTATACTCAATTGCCTGGGGTGTAATATTTGTAAAAAACTTTCTTTTGAATTTCACCAAGTTTCTTCCATGTCTTATTTTGGGAAACCTTTTAGTCCAAAATCTCATTGAGTGCCTCAAATTGTTTTTCTTGATATTGTAGGGATCGATATGGCATAGCAACGAAGAGAGACAAGATCTTATGCATATTCATGATTGTCCTTGCTGTGTTCTCAAATGCGGTGGCGATATATAGTGATACATATGCCTTGTTCAAGAAGAATCCAACTCAGAGAGAGTGATCTCCTTTTGCTCGAGGACGCATTGAATCTCTGAGAAAATGCGGTCTAGAGCTTCAGCTCAACCCTAAAGTTGAGCAGCTTTAATAGAAGTGTGATTTGTGAAGTTCATGCTACCTGAATCCACCTGTATTACTTTGTTGCAGTGTCTTTTCCTATATATTGTACACTCATTGTGTATACACTAAATGTGAGAAGTTCTTCTATAGTTATGCATTCTGTTTCCCCAGTTTGGTTCATGATGTAAATATTTATTTTGACAGTAACAATTAGCTTTCCAGTTTGGATTATTGATCTGCAGCTTATTTTCGTGAACTTATTAACTCGAGGACATGTGCTCTGCAGCTCGATAGCTCGGATAAGTAGTAGTTAGACTGATATTTTCCCTTCCAGCCCCGTGAGCGAATATCCCACCAATGGAACCAAAAAAATGTTTCGAAAAAATATTCTTTCAGAAATTTCTTGGTTTCAATCTCTAACCTGCGAATTTCAACACGGAATCCAGTTATTATTTGCTAGATCACAAGGGTGGGGGGCATGCTATTTTAGAAAAACGACATCCTCCAATTTCCTGAAAATATGCATATACGTCTTGGATTCTTAGAAATAATAGTTATAAAACTTAAAAATAATAATTTTTGGTTTCCTTTGGGCTTCAACAAGCAAGAAAATCTATCCAGTACATCATCTTAAGAATAAAGTTGCTTATGTTTAAGTCCAATCGAAATGAGTTCTAGTAACTATATAATAACTCAGCATTGACTCAATCCACTAATGAAAAGGCAGTATCCTGCTCTTTCTTGCACCCTTCAAGGGCGAATTACCCTACAGATCCTTTCTAGAGGAAGCTAAGCTATAATTGGTATTTTTCAATATGTATAAAACTTATCAAAATAAATGCACAAATACTAAAATCAATCTTTTTTCGTACTTAACAAAGTTCTTGATCTCTATTCTCTAGTAAAGACCGTAAAGTATGACCAAACCAAGTATTCTATTGCGTCGTTTATTCTCCCTAAAGCATCATGTTCTTCTAGTATATCCAAAATCTTATTGTGCTAAATGTTGTTGCATTAAGCTTTATGATAAGTGTATTATACAGATTTATTCAGATTTTAAAATATTGATATTTCGTTGTTCTTTTGATAAATTATAGACCAATTTAGCATATATTTCGTTTATTAGGAGATACTCAATAATTGGACGTGAAATTGGAAGGAGGCAAAAATAGAGAAATTCAAAGTTCGAGGACCTAATTACAACTTTCTAATTGTTGATTTGGACAACAGAATGGAGATTTAAGATGTTACAGATTCAATTGGATGCAATTAGAAATTATAGGGCCGAAATTGCAAGAGAAAATGACTTAAAAGCCACAAGAATAGAATTTGGGGATCAAATTGCACTTATAACCCAACTTTTGGAGAATTTTTACGAGAACAAGCACCTAGGCGCTATCTCTCAGACCCAGGCACCACGTTACTGAAAATCATCCCGAAAGTCGGCACCTAGGCGCTATGGGCAGCACCTAGGCGCTATGATCAGTACCCAGACACCACGTTACTGAAAATCATCCCGAAAGTAGGCACCTAGGCTCCATGTCCATAGCGCCTCCATGTCCATAGCGCCTAAGTGCCAATGAAACCCCCTTTTTGATAGAATTTATCTCCAATTGAAATTTTAACGCGATTCTCATTCAATTTTCGAGCCTTATAATTACACAACAACCTCGTACATCAAAAGGAACCTCTCATACATTATTTTCATCCACTACTAATAAAAGAGAGGCACAATCATAGATCTTTTGAGAGAATTAAGAGGCAATTGCGAGATGTCAATTCTTTGAAGATATAACCCTGATTATGGTATAAAGGAGAGAAAAAATATTTGAAGATTCATCAAGAAACTATTGAAGAAATTTAGGATTTAAAAATTCATCTTCTTCCTTTCAATTTATCCATAATCCAGGTTATGTTCTCTAATTAAACATGTTTTCTTATGATTTTGTAAACCTAGGCTAGGGTTTTAATTATTAAGACTTTGATGAACCCTTATTATGAAGTTTTTAATATTAATTCGATAATTCGACGCCAAATGTGTTTATTTCTTGGATGATTGTATATGTGTTTCGCGTGGATTATCGAGTCTCGCTAACAATTAAAAGATGATTTAGCCGATTATGTAAGGAACAAACCCCTCGAGACAAAATTCCAAAGATGGGTGCTTTATTTATGAAAATTACAATGAAGAAGAAACAAAACGCCTCCAAGGGACACAAGCTTACAAAGTAATTTGAAAGTTGACGATAAGAACTAAAAGAAATGAAATTACATATTCTCTATTTGAAAGTGATTGATTCGGGGTCTTTTCCTTTTATGTCTTCTTTTACCTTTTATACTCCTTTGCCAATTTTCATTGTAAAATCATTTGGAAATTGCTTGCCGCTCTAAAATTACCCACTTGCTTCATAATGACTGATGTGTCGAGGAACCGTCATTTTTAAACTGCTGCTATTGCTCCCCTCTTTTAACTGCTTACAACCGAGATTCTTGGATCGTGAAATATGATAAGATTGTTCAATAACTACTTCAATAACCGCCGCTTTAAATAATAACAGGACGTTATATTCGTTCAGATCTTGGGCGTTTCGAAGGATTGAGCGAGAATGAGACCGTTGCTCTAAGCGACAATAAGGTACTTCATTCGCTCTGATTCTGGGCATTCGTAGACTTGAGCGATGATAGTCCTCCATTTATGGGCCTCCACTATATTTTACAATGGTCTCATTTGGGCATATCCCTCCAATTCCTTAACTGGGCCCTATTTCTTGGACCATTTAATTAGGTCTTATTTTTGTATGTCAATAATATGATTTAACACATTTTCAATTAGTTTATCACTAATTTGATTGGTTTTGAATTTCACCGATTCTCGAGAGAGGCATTATGATAGATAACACAATATAACAACTATTGCAAAGTAAGATAGGGAATTGAGATATACCGCTATAATTTGCATGATTTCTATAGACGTTCTAGCATTTTTAATGCATATTTTTATGTTCGCATATTTCATATAGATATAGGAAGGTCACATAAGATAATAGATTTAATTGACATCGAGAGATACTTTTAATTAAATTAGAAACATTAATCAACAAGAATGTACACATATTGTCATGTTATTGAATTGCATTGATATGGATAATAAGAGGCATTTGAGGACTTAGGAATCATCCAATTTAAATTTTCAAAAGCTCTATACTTTACTCATTAGAATAAATAGTTTAATTAGTTAATTAATATAAACTCTTTAAATGCATTTTGCTATTCAATTAGAGTTAGAATTGATTGATCCTAGATTGAATACATAATCCTTATGGAAAAGATATATTATTCATCACTTTATTATTTGTTGCGATATAGCACACTTACAAAAATTAAACGATTAGCTTATAACCTACAACTATGGATTTTGATACAACGATTTATCATATTTTAGATATAATAATATTTTCATTAATGTCCATCTTTGCACATATACTATTTTGCATTTATGCAAATAAATAATTATGATAGTTCAACATTAGTCATAGAGTCAAAAATTAACTAAGAGGGTGTATATAATTGAGACTTTTAGAGACTTCCTAAAATTTAAAAAGTTTAGTGAAATTCAATGTAGACTTTTTGAGACTCCCTAAAAGTATTTGTATGTTTAATCGAAAATTTTTAAAACTTTTAAAAAAAAAATTTAAGAGTCACGGTGTATTCAGTTAAAATTTTTTGGAAGTCTTTATAAGACTTGGGATATTCAAATTGTTAATATCTTTTAAAGATTTTTATAAAAATCTCTAGGGTTCTAATTTTTAAGTAGAAAATATTAAAATAAAATTTCAATATTTGTCTCCCTTTCATCTCAAGATTTTTGGAGATTTCCACAAAAAATTAATATGTTTTTTTTTCCTCTCAATATTTCTGTTTTTTCACCTTCTACTAACATTAGAGTCATGATGAAATTTTTTATTTTTCAACAGGTTATATTTGTTTCAATTTTTTTCTCTCTCTTTTATTTTTTATTTCTATTTTCTAAGAAAATAAATAAATTACAATTAAAGATTCTTATAACTTTTTTTTCTTAATTTTTATGAAATATATATTATTTGTCTGATTTTCATGTATAATAGGACCACTCGCTAAACCGTCGAATCTAGTTCAATTGTCAAAACATTAGTTAAAACTAGCAACATAGATTAACACCTAGCTACGAGATCTGGTTTAGCCATAGTATTATTAGCTACATACAAATTTAAATAAGAATTGTCTTTTACGAAAGGGGCCTACAATCACTTTGTATCCCGTTTGAGTCGCATTAGTTTTTTCATTTTCATTCTTCTACTCATTTTTAACCACACATTCTTCAATAAAATATTATTTTTCATAACATCAATAACTTTTCCTTCTTTTTCAACCACATATTCCCCATCACATCAACAGTAAAAATGTATTTTTTTTCCAAAAATGTACATCAAGCGGGGGCTAAATTGCCATATTTAATATTTTTTTAATGAAATACGAATTATGAAAAAATATTAGATTAGTAAGTAAAATTTCTCAAAATGAAATGAATAATGATGTCCGTGTCGACTAGTTGAAGAAGTCAAATTTTCTCCCCAATATTGAAAAATGTTCAAAAGGCAGACTGAACATTGACATGGTCTGAGAATTTGTTCTCTGAATGTTGTCCGTATTATATTAAAATGTTCAAAAGGCAGACTGAACATTGACATGGTCTGAGAATTTGTTCTCTGAATGTTGTCCGTATTACATTAATGGGCTAACATTGGTTATAACTGATAGAAAACAATAAAAGGATTATCAATCCATATACTTTAATTAAATCCTTTTCACAAATAAAATTTAGGACGTGTTCGGTAGAAATTAAAATCGGATTAAAATTGAAAAACTAGTCGTTATTGTTGACTTTTATTATACGGGTAAGACTCA